GCAGTAATTGCAGATAAATGTTTCTGGTAACTGTTGATCAGTCCTGGATTTGATCTGGCGACCTTCACACTGAGAGGCAACAGCTCTACCAACTGCACCACCGTGCCGCCCTGCATGATCAATGATTTATAAATAGTTTGGTTTAATTTATTTTTATTTGATTAAAAAAAATGCCATATCTGTTTAACCCCCATAAATCATACATCTTTATAATCTTGGTCCATCACAGTGGACTTTTTGTCTCTTCTTCATGTCCAAACAGCTGCAGCTCCTCCAGGTCAGAATGGTGCTGCTTGTGTCCAGCAGTCTTTAAATCAAACCAGAGGTTCTCAGTTGGACTGAAGTCTGTACTTTTACTGGACCAGTCCAGGACTGGAGACAGGTCTCTTGTTTGGTGGTAACCTGCACCACATAGAGGTTTAGACCTGCTGTTGCTTCTGAGGTCCATCAGAACAGGTGGATATACTGTAGACTGAGCTCACTGCTGGACCTTATTTACTGACGTGACTTCTGAAGAGCTTAAAGCAAGGAGGCTGAATATACAGACACCACTTTTTAGGTTCCTTCTTCTTTATACGCCCGTCGAAAGATGAGCGTATTACGGTAGTCTCTGTCCGTACGTACACCAACTTTCTCTTGTCCAGATCTTAACTTCTGCTCTGCTCAAGATCATTTATTAAAACTTCATACACATTTGCATCATCAGTAGACAGAGAGCTGTGTACAATTTTCATTACCCCAGTTCCAAGGTCAGTGTCATAAATCAAGGTTAAACAAGGTCTCTGCTTGTTCGGATCATTGCTATACATTGCTGTATAATAGTTTGTTGATGGGCTTATAATGTATCCTATGTTGTAAAACTATTTTCTCCATATAACTATGTAGCGCCCGTGCCATATCGCTAAAGAATTAACCAGTAGGTTAGATTGAAGTGTAGTACATTAGTCGGGGCCCTGGGAATGTTATTTTAAAGATAGCTGTACTAACAGTTTACAGGAGATACAACTTACTGTTTGTATTTAATTTAATGGCGGTGCCTCCACTTAGCAGGAAATTATGACTTTACGCTTTGTTTAACCCACTAAGAATTTAATTTGTTTCACAAATAAAATTCAACAAAGCAATGTTTTTAAATAACAAAACAAAAGGTATGGCTTTTCAAACATAAAAATCAACCCTAAAATAACCCGTTGCAGGCCTGAATCGATGCTTGGGTGCGTGGGAGCTAAAAACAATAAGCTTATTCACGCACTGAGTAAATAAAATAAAAAGCACATGCATTGGTGTAGTTTTGTACTCACAAATCCTTCAAAGTTTGAGATTGGATCGGGAAAAAGTAGATGTGGAGATCCCTTTAATATGGCACTGAGTAAAGTAAGTATAGGTAGGTGATGTCACACAAACTCCAAGATCCTTCCTGGCAGCAACCTCACAGATGGGAGGAACCCAAACGGCTGAAATGGGGAACTTCTAACTCATTCAGCAGGTCCAAATATGAGCTCCTGGTCCAGTGTACATATTAACAGCTCTCAGTCTTATATATTCCTTAGTAAAACACACTGGCTTCTCATATGGAGCCATTAAGAGCTTAAACAGCCACTAATGTGAGCATTTACATTTCGGTATGCAAAAACCTGAACTGTTACATCATTAACTAGCTGCTACATCGCACTAGCATGCTAAAATGCTAGTTACATTTAGCCTGGTTTTCAGCTACACACCGCATCATTCTGAAACAGCATAAAACATACAGACAATGGTAATTACCTTTCATATGCTTCTTAAAGTCCGTTACAGTCGGCAACTCTGCATTAACCGTTGTAATGGATAGCTTTGCTCTGTTACTGTCTGAGTCGCTGTGCTCTCTGCCTTATCTGGTTTTTCACACTGACACACGTTTCATGCAGTGTACCATTAATCCTGCCCACTTCCATCTGATTGGGCAAAATAAAATGCTTAATCCAATACAAAACAAAACTGAACAAGACTGACACTTAGCACAACTCAAAGAGTAGGTTGTGAAACTTCCTCGTGGCACCATGTGCAGCATTCCTCAAACAAACTTTTATGTGACCTTCAAGGAACGTAGTAAAAATGACAACTGCCTGTTTCAGTCTGCATGAACTAGATTTTCTTGACCAAATTTGCACTGTTTTTAAAATGATGCATTTTTAAATGACAAAAAAAAAAGTTTTTATATTTCATATTATTCCACTTTTATCACTTAGACATTCTAAAAAAGTTAAATCTGGTCCTCTGGACATTCAAAAAAACAAAGCAAATCAACAAAAAAATGTAGAAACGTTTCGTCTCTCATCCGAGAGACTTCCTCAGTCTGAGGAGCTGTATTCAGCTCAGTCTCTTAAATAGTCAACCAGTCAACCTACTTCACATATGGGGAGCAATATTATAGACAGAAACATGGGTGTGCCATGGGGTCTCCAGTTTCTCCTATTGTTGCCAACCTGTACATGGAGGAGGTAGAAAAGAGAGCCTTGACGTCCTTTTCAGGGACACCACCAAGTCATTGGTTCAGGTATGTTGACGACACCTGGGTTAAAATCAAATCTCAGGAAGTCCAATATTTTACTGACCACATCAACTCTGTGGATAAATACATCAAGTTCACACGAGAAGATGTAAAAAATGGCAGGTTGGCTTTCTTGGACTGTGAGGTCTCAGTCTCTGATAGAGGACATTTGCAAACTGAGGTGTACCGCAAACCCACCCACCCAGACCAGTATTTGCAGTTTGACTCCCATCACCCTTTGGAGCACAAGTTAGGAGTCATCAGGACTCTGTATCACAGAGCAGACAGCGTCCCCACTAGCTCAGGAGCCAGGCAGAAGGAGAAATCCCACACAAGACCGGCTCTAGAGCAATATGGATATCCTAACTGGGCCTTCCTGAAAGCAGAGAAGAAACCCAAACAGGACTCCAGTCAGCCAACAGGTGAAAAGGAGGAACCCAGACCCAGACCAGTGGTCATTCCATATGTTGAGGGAGTATCAGAGAAACTGAGACGTTTATTTTCTAAACATAACGTCCCAGTGGCTTTTAAACCCCAAAATACATTACGGCAAAGACTGGTTCATCCCAAAGATCCAGTCCCCCGGCACAAACAGAGTAATATTGTGTATGCTGCTCAGTGTCAGGAGGGCTGTGATCAGTCTTACATCGGGGAAACTAAACAGCCACTGGCCAAAAGGATGGACCAGCACAGAAGATCAACATCATCAGGCCAGGACTCTGCGGTCTACACTCATCTCCAGGCCAGCGGTCACTCTTTCA